TTTCCCTTACTTTTTTGCTAGTAGCATCTCTTCCTTTCCCCCCTATTTTTTAGTGATTTTTCTTGTACTTTGCCTGTTTTCTCAGCTTATTATTATTATCTTTTTTTCTGGTTCCTCTTTCTCTTTTTGTCCCACCCAACTGAAGATAGCAACTATACACACACAGCCCGGCCACAACCATGCCTTTTTCAGTCCCACTAAATGAGTGATGAAAATTATATATTTTTGCTCTCTCTGATACTTGATAGATGGCAACCAATACTATGCAAACCCACCCTCAAATGTGCTACACAAAGCACACAGAACTATGCACACGCTCACATTCTTTATCACATCAATCAAGAGACAGGTAATGAGAGGCTAAGAATACACCAAATTATAATCATCAATTAAATATAAATACAAATCAATGAGAGAAACCAACAGCAAAACAAAAACAAAAATTTAAAGCAACAATGCAGGAATCAGGCGAAAGCAAAAGAATGATGTGGGATATTATGAAGAGAAACAACCTATGTCTCATCAGAATCCCAGAAGAAGAAGATACCAAAAAAATTACAGATAAAACAGTATGAGAATTCATAGAAGAAAATTTCCTAGGGGGAAGAGGCTGAGAGAAACCCAAATAGAAGAGATGCCAAAAAAAAAACAGAGCATATCATAGTCAAAATACTCAATTTCAAGGAAAAGGAGAAAATTCTGAGGGCAATGAGAATAAAAAGAACAGTCACCTACCAAGGAAAACAAGTAGGTTTAAGCTCAGACTTGTCACAGGAACTGTGAAGGCAAGAAGACAATGAAGTGACATATACAAAATTCTGAAAGGAAAAAAATGCCAACCAAGAATTCTATATCCAGCAAAATAATACCTCACGTACAAGGGAGAAATAAAGGTATTTCCAGAGAAGGAAAAACTAAAGGGATATGTAAAAATAAGGCCAGCACTATAAAAAATGTGAATGGGATCACTAAGAACATAAGCAAACCTGAGAGCATTAGCCAAGACAATATAACCAAGAAACCAATATGATGGAAGCAGCAATGAAAACAACACCAAAATCAAGGTGAAACAAAGACACCTATAAAACCACAAAAAAATGGGTGGTGGTGGTGGGGGGTGGTGAGACCAAACACAGCAAAATGACATCAACAATCCCATGGACATCAACAATGACACCGAATGT